CTGAAGGATCATGTAACACTGAAGACTGAAGTAATGATGCTGAAAGTTCAGCGTTGACATCACTGGAATAAATTACATTTAAAATGCATTAAAATAGAAAACCAATCAAATATGCAGCCTTGGTAAAAAAACAAAACAATTAAAATTAAAAATCATACCGACCTATTAACATTAGTGTATACTTAATATCTTCATTTAGTCTGGCTGACAGACTTCTTGACTCCAACTCTGATTGTCTGACTGGTCTTTGATTTTGAATGGCTGAAAGCTCTTTCTTTGTTTCTGATTGGCTGACTGATCTTTTTCTCTGATTCTGATTGGCTGACTCTGGCTGCAGGGTGCTATAGTGGCAGTGACAGGTGATGGGGTGAATGACTCTCCTGCTCTGAAGAAGGCTGACATTGGCGTTGCCATGGGAATCTCGGGCTCAGACGTTTCCAAGCAAGCTGCTGACATGATCCTGCTGGACGACAACTTTGCCTCAATTGTTACAGGAGTGGAAGAGGGTAAGAGAGAGATGGAATATTAAGAATAAGTATCTCTAAATGTTTTAGAGATAACACATTTCAGAAGTGCTATATTGGCCTGACTGTTTTACACAATCATTAATACAGAAATAATTCAATTAAATTAAATCCTGTGTTTTTAGGTCGTCTGATCTTTGATAATCTGAAGAAGTCAATTGCGTACACGCTGACCAGTAACATCCCAGAGATCACACCCTTCCTGCTTTTCATCATCGCCAGTGTGCCACTGCCCCTGGGCACCGTCACCATCCTCTGCATTGACCTTGGCACTGACATGGTGAGATGTGCACACTCACACATCTGTGCATTCATTCAGTCTTACTTCCAATTTCTGTCAAGTGTAATACCAACCTCAGGCACCAAACCATCTCAAACACACACACACACACACACACACACACACACACACACACACACACACATATGAGCATCTTTGTCATCACGTCATCATTTTCTCTCTCTCTCTCTCTCTCTCTCTCGCTCTCTCTCGCTCTCTCTCGCTCTCTCTTACTCTCTTAGGTCCCTGCAATCTCTCTAGCGTATGAGTCGGCAGAGAGTGACATTATGAAGCGTCAGCCCCGAAACCCCAAAACTGACAAGCTGGTGAATGAGAGGCTCATCAGCATGGCTTACGGACAAATCGGTTAGCCTCAAGTGCCCTTGCACACAGATATCAGCGAACGCACACACATGGCCTTTATAACTTCATTCTTGTCAACTTTGTAGTCTGTGAAGAATTTATTTGTGCAAACAAATTAACAATAGAGGCACCTATTTTTTAATGGGTCACTGGGCTCACTTGGCGCCCTAGGCAAGACATGACCAAAGCAAACATTACTAAATATTAATTTTATGTGTGTAATATGGGTGGGAGAGTATAGTTTTTTCTGCAATAAGTGCAAAAACATAAAAATAAAGGCCTGGTTTCACAGTCAGGGCTTAGATTAAGCCAGGATTAGGCCTTAGTTCAATCAGGGCATTTAATTAGCTTTTATAAACATGCCTAAGAGAAAAAAAAACATTACTGGTGTGCATCTTGAGACAAAACAATGGCACTGACTTATTTTAAGATATATCAGTCCAAGTTGCTTTCAGTTCAGACAACTCAAACACTAGGCTTAAAGGTTCTCTAAGCGATGTCGGGTGACGTCACTTCTTGTTGACGTTTAAAGTATTGTCAAACAAAACGGAGGCTAGCTAGACCCTCCCTCCTCCTCATCCGCGCACTAACCCCCCAAACCCCGCCCCCATGTCCTTCTTGTCGGTGATTGGGTGGAACTGTTTGTCATGTTTCGGGGAGCGGGTCGCCGCAGTTTGTTTTTGTTGCTGTGTGTGGAGCCTAGGCTGTCTACAGAGATCGTGTTTCTTTACAGTGTGTTCAGGGGACAGGCAGCCAGCGGATAGTGAGGAGATGTTTGCTGTATGTGACAAAAAATGTTTTGGGCTAAAAAACGCGTGACATCGCTTAGAGCACCTTTAAGCCTTGTTTGTGAAACCGGCCAAAATAGTTTTTCGCATAATAAGTGTCATTTCACTTGGGAAATCTGAGGGGGGTGAATAGACCTCATGCTTCTGATTAATATTGTGAATAAAATACCTTTTCATGCTCTGCTGGGATAAAAGTAATTACATGTGTTTGTGTACTCGTTTATCTTTTGTGTGTGTTTAGGTATGATCCAGGCACTGGGAGGATTCTTCACCTATTTTGTGATCCTGGCTGAGAATGGTTTTCTGCCGCATACACTGCTGGGAATCCGACTGAATTGGGATGATCGTGTAGTTAATGACCTGGAGGACACCTATGGACAGCAATGGGTGAATTTACACACACAGATTTAAAAAGAAGTCTTGGCAAAATTCAAAATTCAGGCAAAATTATGTAAAAACAGTAATATTGTGAAATATTGTTACACTTTCAAATAACTGTTTTCTATTTGAATATATTTTAAATGTAATTTATTATTTTCAGCATCATTACTCCAGTCTTTAGTGTCACACGATCCTAAATCATTCTAATATGTTGATTTGCTGCTCAAGAAACATTTCTTATTATTTTTCAATTTAAAAACATTTGTACTACTTGACATTTTTGTGGAAACCATGTTTTTTCAGGAATATTAAATGTAGAATGTTAAAAAGAACAGTGTTTATTTTTTGTAACAATGTAAAAGACTATCACTGTCACTTGATCAATTTAACGCACCCTTGCTGAATAAATATATATATATATATTGTTTTTTAATACGAATTTCTTAAAAAATATACATTTAAAAAAACTTAAATCAATTAATCACACAGGTTTATGTGATTCAATTAAACATGCAATTAATTTTGATACATTTGTATAAAATAGATTTACACATCAATTCCTAAATTAATGTAAAATCAACATAAAGAAAATGTTTAATATTAATAGTTTAATGGCATATTGTACCACTAAAATGTTTATGTAAGCCATAGCTTTTAACATTTAACAGCCCTAATTATTCCAAATAATTGGCCTGTTTTTTATATACAGTATATATATATAATTTATTACAATTAGAACATGATCGATCATATATGATATGTGCAGAATGTTTACAAATGTTATCAAATGTGTGTATTTCATTATGTCTATTTAAATATGTATGTTTCAGACTTACGAGCAGCGTAAGGTTGTCGAGTTCACCTGTCACACTTCGTTCTTCGTCAGCATAGTCGTGGTGCAGTGGGCCGACCTCGTCATCTGCAAGACGCGCAGGAACTCCGTCTTCCAACAGGGCATGAAGTCAGTGTGTGTGTGTTTGTGAGTGATTGCATTGAGGAGTGTGATATTTGCATACATCTCTGTTAAATGCTATTCTCCAACCTGTGCTCTTATAGCAATAGGATTCTCATTTTTGGAATGTTTGCCGAGACGGCTCTGGCAGCCTTCCTGTCCTACTGCCCCGGTATGGACATTGCCCTGAGGATGTACCCACTCAAGTAAGGGACAAACACACACACTCTTCTGCTCCATAGAACAGCTTGTTTTTTTGCTCCTCCTTTCCTCACCTTTTCTTTTCTATTTTTCCTATTTCTTTTGCAGGATTATGTGGTGGTTCTGTGCTTTCCCGTACAGTCTGCTAATCTTTGTGTATGATGAGATCCGTAAATTAATCTTGCGCAGGAATCCGGGAGGTGAGCACAGATGTTTACAAAGAACATTTCTGAGAACTTTCATAATAACCCACATTTGTAACCCAAATTTGTTCTCAAGTGAATGCACCATTTCTACTGTTGTCTCCCTGTTTAAATGATGCATTCTGTGGGAATAGGTAAATATAAAAACTAGATTTAAAAAAAAAACCTTAGTACTTAAACTGATGCATATTAAATATGGCACAGATAATGTTTGCCAATATTACTATTTAAATTCAAGGTTCAAGAAACAATACAGCAGTATAGCAAAGAGTTTGTTGAGCCTAGTAATTGAAACCATGTGAATAGAGCTTTATTTTGCTTTTTTTATTTTTATTAATTTAATTACTTTTGCTCTCTCTGTCTTTCATTTGCAGGCTGGGTGGAAAAAGAGACCTACTATTAACAGGAATATGCTATCTTTGTGCATGACTGTCTGTCTCTCTCTCTCTCTCTCTCTCTCTCTCTCTCTCTCTCTCTCTCTCTCTCTCTCTCTCTCTCTCTCTCTCTCTCTCTCTCTCTCTCTCTCTCTCTCTCTCTCTCTCTCTCCTGGTAAAAGATATGAAGAAAGGTAATGAGACAAATGAAGAATCAGGCAATCATCTGACATTTATCATGTAAGACTGAATGTGTGTGTCTGTATGTGCATACGTGGGTGTGTGCATGCACTCGCATAATCTGTTTACATGATGTATCCTGAATACTGTATCATTAACCTCAATAATTTTATGATTTAATAGCCAGCTATGGTTCAAGATCATTACATTTCTACTGAATTGATGTTTTGCTGTGAATTTATAACTTTTAAGCTGGTTATAAGATTTCTTTTAGAGTTAATTTTCTTTAAGTTTTCACTTGAAGAAACTGTGAAATATAGTATATAGGCCTACATGATTCAAATATGTCACATTTTAATGTAGGCTACTAAATTTATGAAAAAGCTCATTGGTGCCAATTTAATGCAAATGTATTAGAACTGTATTGTAATATTACTATAATTATAATTCTATGTTTCTATTTAAATACTTGTAAGAAATATAGCCTAAAAATAAAATTCAATGGATCTCTGATGTTTGACTTTTGTTTTCTAACTTATTTCACTGTGCAACGTGAACATAAAGATGAAATAAAAAAAATGGTTGAATATAACTTTATTCTCGACTATTATTATTAAACCCGACTGTACATATAAACGAGAATACAATTTTACATAGGCTAACCAACTGACTGTACAATGTTATCGCATTGACCTTGCATACGGTTTGTATTGACCTTACCAAAATGGCGGTGGCTTGTGATCTCGTTTGCAACATCCGTCTGCGTCACATCCGACTCCGAACACTACGCTCAAAAACATGGCGTTGCTTCTAAGGTCAGTACGAACATGTTATTTTTAAAAATGCGACAGTTTTGCTTTATATTTTGTTTAAGATTAAATTAATTGTTGTGACGGTCTTTTTGCTGTCATATCAGCTGGCAGTTTGACAGTCGGGATATTGAGGGTTTGCTGATGTTTATTGTTTACGTATTTTACATGTAACAACACTGGGTACTGTCCTTTGCCCTGATATAATCTTTATAGCCATGTATATGCTTCAGTTTTGTGTTTTTTTTTTTTTAATTCTCAGTCCGTGTACTTTTCTTTCAGCCTCTAGTCTAGTTACTTTAATAATAATAACAATAGCTATCATTTATTCCGTTGTTTTTGTTCATACTGTCGGCAAGGTCCTTGCATCCAGAATCTTCTGTACATCAAATCAATTATGATAACTAAACATTAAAAGGATAGTTCACCCAAAAATAAAAATTCTGACATCATTTACTCACCCTCAAGTTGTTCCAAACATGTATTAATGTCTTTCTTCTGCTGAACACAAAATAAGATATTTTGAAGATTGTTGGTAACTAAACATTCTATGAAAGTCAATCCAATTGTTGGTTACCCATATTCGTCAAAAACAATTTTGTGTTCACGCCAGCAGAAGAAAGAAATTCATACAAGTTTGGAACAACTTGAGGGTGAGTAAATGATGACAGAATGTTCATTTATATCCCTTTTAACTTTGAGTAGAATGTTGTGTGCCACATTATTTGTCATGTTCATATGTCTGAGCTCATCTCCAGTTCTACTGGAGTCCCATCATTGTGCATTGGATCAGACATTGTGACATGATTTTCATTAGTAGATTACTGAGTTTGATCAGATTAACCATATTAGATGTTAATAATTATTAGGGGTGGGGGAAAAAATCGATTCTTAGATGCATCGCGATGCGGACGTGGACGATTCTGAATCGATTCACAATTGTCAAAAATCGATTTTCAAAAAAAATAAAAAATTTTTAGATATATATTTATAATAACGTAATATTGACGGAACGCGAAAGACGGAACTCTGAAGCGCGGAAGTGCAGTGGCCGGACCGTCTGTGGCGTGCACGTAACAGACGCGGACGCGATGGCTGAGCGCCAAATCCAAACACCCTCCTCGTTAAAAGCTGACGTGTGGAAATATTTTGGCTTCTGAAGTTGAAGGGGGAAAGGAGCTGGACAAGAGCCACACTAGTTGTAAGCTTTGTAGAGTAAAACTAAAATATTTCGGAAACAAGACACATATGAGAAGCCATATGACACGTTTCCAGCCAGAGGAGGAAAAACACTCGGCTGTAACGTTACCGGTCGTTGTTATATTATTAATTTACTACAAATATGCTGCTGCTAGTTCAGACACACATGTATTTTCCTGTTGGTTCTTTGCAATGCTAATAAAATATATTGTACGTTAATTCTTTATGGGTCATTACTTTCTACTTTTAAAGCAAAGTATTTATAGTCACACACACACAAAAAAAAGATTCTGATAATCGATTTAGCATCGAATCGCAGCCCTCTGAATCGTAATCGAATCGAATCGTGAGGTGCCTAGAGATTCCCACCCCTAATAATTATGCCGAAGTGAGTTGTATAACCAAACTGAATGTCTGATTATAAAACCAAAGCGAATGTGACGAATGTCCATATGCCAGGTCTGTGCTGTTGTTGTGTTTACAGTTACCAACATGAGTTGGGATGTTTTTGATTGCAGCCCCTGGTTTATAATGTACAAAATACCCAGCTGCTTTAACTGTATGCAAATATGTGTTTGTACTTAAAATTGTTAGTTTTATGCTTGTGGCTGAAATTTATGGGGGTTTTCTATTTTTAAGGACGGTGGCCCGGCAGGGTCTGTGTTCGTCACGGTCACAGTTTGGCATTCTCTACAGACAGTGAGTATTTTTGTGTTTTCCTAATAAATTTTCAAATTTAGAATTCATATTAATCGAATGTACCCAGTTTTAGCTCGAACCACTGATTAGCTTATAACGCGAGTATATAGGGCATAGAGTAAGTAAAAAGAAATCGCTAGCTAATAACACTAACAAGGCTCAAAATAGCCCCACACTAACTACACTGTAGCATAATGAGGGTCCCTACATGCAAACCGAAGCATTGAGAACTTTGTATGTGTACAGACATTTTAATAAGAAGATACTTTATAAAGACAGTACGCTTCGCGTATACAGGCAGAAGCCATCTTTGGAAAACAGTCTCGAACCAGTCGAACCACAAACGCAGTGCTACGTGAGCATTCGATTAGCATGAAAACACATCCCAGAGAACAGTCGACTCTGTATGTGTTATTAACCCCTAGGTTCATTTTGCGCCGGAATTCTCCTTTAAGCTGTAAAGCTCCTTTCTACTCTGTTTTCCAGTGCTGTTCCGATGGGAACCACAGCTAAAGAGGAAATGAACAAGTTTTGGACAAAAAACACACGACTCAACCGACCTGTCTCACCACATATAAGCATCTACCAGTGAGTGTTACCACATCTGCTTCTTGGAGTGTGTGGATCATACAATTCACTGGATTGTATGTTTGAGGATTTTGGTTTTAAAGAATGTGGTGATGAGTTAGAATGAAATGAACTAACTGTCCTTAAAAAGATGATAATTTAATGGCTTTGGTGTTTACAGGTGGTCTGTCCCCATGTTGTTGTCAATCTCACACAGAGGAACAGGCGTGGGACTAAGTTCAGGTAGCTAGAATATATTCTTGGCTTTTGATGATGCCTCGAAGGGCCCGTTCACACCAAGAACAATAACTATTATAGGGGCAGTCGTGGCTTAATGGTTAGAGAGTCAGACTGGTAACCCGAAGGTTGCGGGTTTGATTCTCAATAGAAAATGTCCACGGTTTCCGAGTATGGGTTACCATACTTGGCCTTCACATGTCACATTCACTTTCTTTCACACAACTGTATTAGCGATAACATTATGTTGTTATGTCCTCTGATGTTTTAAATGCTTGAGCTCTTTAAGGTTGGGTGGATTTTGATTGGCTGTTAATGTTTTAATCGCTCATCAGCTGAAAAAAAAAAATCCTTCTAAAAGTGATTCCGACCATATCATGTTCCTCTGTGTCGTTATTATAGCTATGGTGTGGAATTCCCTATTCTCAAAGAATTAGAACAAGTATTAAAATGTTATGATTATAGTTATCATCTTTGGTGCGAGCGACCTTTAATTCTAGGTCCACATCACAGCTATAATGATAAAGACACAGAGGAACGAAATAGTTGGAGTCACTTTCAGAAGCTAGTGAACGATAGCAACATGACAGCCAATCAGAATCCACCCAACATTAAAGAGCTCGAGAGACGAATGACAGAACGTATCATACACTGCCATTGACGCAAATATAATTATCGTTCTTGCTGACTTTTAAAGAATCCTTTTGTGTTCATGACTAAATTATTGCATATTAATATTAAATAATGTTGATGATCTTTTTGTCTCAGGAATCTCTGCGTTTGCACTTGCCGCGTTGGTTTTACCAGAGAGTTACCCATATTACCTTGATCTGATTCACTCCATGTCCTTTGGGGCCCAGTTCCTTGCTTTCTCCAAATTTGCTCTGGCTTTCCCAGTGGCTTTCCACACCTTCAATGGCGTCCGTCATCTGGTACACACACACACACATAAATGAATGAATGAAGTATATAGACTCTCTCCGGCTCTGATAATGACTCATGACAGTGTAACTAGTTGTATGTGACCAAGTGTGAAATTAAGACTTTAAGTTTGGGGTCAGTGAGAATTTTCTTTGAAAGAAATTAATACTTTCATTCAGCAAGGATGCATTGAATTGATCAAAAGTGACAGTAAAGACATTTATAATCTTACAAGTGATTTTGCTTTTGCAAATAAATACTGTTGAGTTCAATTTTCTATTCATCAAAAAATCCTGCAATAAATGTGTCACGGTTTCTGTAAAAATAAGCAGCACAGCTGTTTTCAACATTGATAATTATTAGAAATGTTTTTTGACCACTAAATCAGCATATTAGAATGATTTCTGAAGGATCATGTGACACTGAAGACACTGAAAATTCTTTGCCATCACAGGAATAAAGTACATTTTAAAATATATTGTAATAATTGTAATAATATTTCACAGTATTACTGTTTTTACTGTATTTTTGATCAAATAAATGCAGCCTTGGTGAGCATGAAAGACTTTTTAAAAATGTTTTAATGTCTATTCACTGATTTACTCATTACCAGAATAATGACTTTTTCTTTTTGGAGACTGTTCTCATCCAATATTAATTAGATTTATTTTTCAGAAAATCATGCAATTCATTCTTTTTTCATAAGTCCTAATGTATCGATCATATTTTGATTCATATTCTTTTTTTTTTGTCTATTTCTTTCAGATCTGGGATGTTGGGAAGGGTTTTAAGATTCCTGAAGTCTATCGTTCTGGATACGTTGTCATTGCTCTGACTGTTCTTGCATCAATTGGTCTTGCTGCCATGTAAATCCGTCGACATGAGACACAAATGAAGAAGATGTGGAAGTAGAGAAAGGGGTGTTGTTTTGTTTATCTGTCCTAAACGTGGTCCGCAAGGACCAAATTCATTAATATAAAAAATATATATATCTACACAAAAAAATATCCTCAGTGTTGTTGTTTTTCTTCATGTTAAGTCCCTTGCAGCTGAAGGCATGGCACATAGAACTTGGCATTTGCAATGAACTTTACAGCAATCGTATGCAAATATTCAGGAATGGTCTTAGCATTTCCTAAACCATTTGCTTCGTTTTACTGTGTCACTGCAGTATTTCCAGAAATGTTGACCTGGGCTTGATTTCACTTCAGTTTTGGGATAAATGAAACCACTTTGGGTAGCAAAGGCCCTTAACAAATTAACCTCTAGACTCTGGACAATAGAAGCTCCTAGCGGTACCAGATTCTCATGCATTTATGTGATTTGTCGTAGTACGAAGCCACATAAAGTTTCTCTCCACTAGCATTTGCATCTATAATGATACTATGTTTTAAGATAATGCATATTAAACATTTATATGCGCTGCCTTCTTGTGTCGTGATAATGGTAATTATAATGTTTCATGGTAACCAATAATAAGAGAGTGTGATTAGCATCTTGTTAATAATTTAAATAAACCCAAATGTTGCTGGCTGCACAGGGTAAATTATTCTCCTCGAATCTTGTTCACCTGAATGATAATGTCATGGATGGCTGTGGGCTTTTTCATTTAAATGGTAATGTCGTAAAAAAGGATTGGTTTGGATTACAGACTACACGCAATCACTACACTGAATGTTTATTGAAAAACTCCACCCCGGAGTCCTAAAGTACATGTTCACTCATCGTTTCCATTCCCCTTCACTAAAACACTAAATCTGGAGAGTTATTTATCTATGTCTGAAACTAGAAGGCATGTCCTTTAACACTTGTGGTCAAGAGTAGACAAATTGTGTTCAGTTTCAGCATTGCATCAGGTTGGTTTATTTGGTCTTTTCAAACTGAGGTCTAGGGACCCCAGGGGTCCTCTGAAAATGAAATGTATTTTTAGGACTGTCAGTTATCATGTTGCCATAAAATATTAGCTAAATGTTTAACAGGAATTTTAACACTTTTACCAAATTTCATATTCTTATATTTGATTTATAAAAACTGGTAAGAAATCATGATATTGATTGTGACTTTTTAAAATTATTGCTATAGGTTTTAACAATAGCAATAAAGAAAAATGCATTCTTGCTCTCTCATTCTATATATTTTTTTATGTGTGGAAAAAATGTAATTGATCATTTCTCTTACCTCCCAATGTATGGCCAATAATCATTGTATCTTACAGCTCTTTCCCTTTACACTGTTGCCTTTATCTCCAGGGGGTTGGATAGCACTATTCTCTGCAAAGTGCCCTTGGAACAATATTTACTTTGAGAAGTGCTACACGAATTGAATTGAAAATGTTTCTCTTCAGGAGAATGTTCATACATTCAACTACTCTATCGGTGGAGAGACGACATGTTTAATCTAATACAAAGTAGCTAAATGTTTTCCTTTTACCACAGTAGCCTATACAACCCAATTATTCTTCATAATATCGTCTTATATATTTTTTCTCATATAAAACAATATATTCTAGCAAGTGGATCATATTTTTGGGTCATTGACGAAACGAAGCTTGAAAACCCCTGATATAAAGTGATGCGCACGGGATTTAATTTGGCTAATTTTGCAACACACAAATAGTTAGCCTGCTATTTAAACATAATGATACATAAATATAGACAGGGTGCACAAAATGACGCTTTTCATGTATGCTTGCTTAGCTTATGTTATTAATTTCGCTTATGAATTCCGTTTATTCTGTTGTTCCAGAATAACGCACACAGAGAATTACTAGAAGTAAAGCTCGTGAAAGATTAGTGTGTTTGAGCTATGGTAGTATTCTGAAAGACATAGTGG